GTTTTGAAGCATCTCCAAGCCTCACCGGGATGAGGCCGTAATCCCCAGCTATCCCTTTATCCCCCAGCAGCCGTTTCTCTGTCCTCAGCGGTTTCCACTCGCAAGGAGGGCTGCAGCTCGCCAACGGCGGCGGGGATCCCCGCACTGCACGTGCCTCCCCGGGGGAGAAACAGGCCCGCGGGGAGGCCCTACCTCAAGCATGACGACGCAGATCTGTTTGACGCACTCGATGATAGACTGTGGGATCCCAGCGATAGTGATGGCTCGCTCAGTCGAGTTGGGCAGCATGTCTCCTGCCACCTGGACCTGTGCCCCCGTGCTCTGCAAAGTTGACGGTCAAAAATAAGTGGTCAGACCCCGGCAAAGGCTGTGACCTCAGCAACAAACCCCGTGGCCAGGTTATACATAGCCGAAACTTCCCCCCACCCGCCCTTTCCCCAAAAATAAAAGTCCTTTAATCCCAGCTGGAAATAATTCTGTGTCAGGAGCCCGGGGCAGGAGAGGAGGAGCTGGGCTGCAGCCTTTCCCTGTAACCCAAGTCAAGCCCGTCTCTGCAGCCAGCAGAGCTGGACAGAGTTAATCCCCGGCAGCCCAGCGTCAGCAGCGCCCGCACCGAGGGCAGCACAGGCCTGGCAGTGCATTCCCCGCTCCAACAACCGGGAAAAGGCCGGGGGGGTTGTTGGGAGCCCGGGGAAGGGGGGGAGCAGGAACCTAGGCAGCCCACTGTGGCGGACAGTGCCGGGAAGGGGACGGTCTGCCCCGAGTCTCAGTTTCACAAGCACTAAAAATACAAGGAGCTCTAAAAGGGTGGAACGACATCACGTCTCTACTATGTGGTACCACCTGGGGTGTGGCCGATGAAACCATTCACCCCTGGAGGCACCCGGACCCTCGCGTCCCCCTGGGCTGGCCCCCACACACCTCTCTTATCTCTTTGATCTTGCAGCCTCCTTTTCCAATGAGGGAACCGCACTGGCTGGCAGGGACCACAAGCCGGAGGGTGACCGGGGGGCCGGCGGGC